AGAGTGTCACAGGGTATCTTCAGGCCCCAGCGCCGGCGGACATGGGGTACCTGCCCCCCGCGTCGGACCTCCTGTTCAACCGGGACTTCTCCTTGCCCTTCCTGTCGTTCCTCTCCAGCTGCCTGGAATCCCATGCGGCGACCAACTCCGCCCGGGATCTTCTGAGACACGAGTTCCTGCGCCTCAGCTCGCAGGTTCCTCTCAGAATGGAAGATATCCGGTAAAACCTCTCACAACATCTTTTTGGGGTTCAGGGTTGTAGCAATGTGTTTTTGGTTTGCATTGTCCAGCCTATACTTGCTAAAGCGTAATTTCCGTGCCACTTTCAAGAGCGGTGTTTTTCATCAGCGGAAACAAGATCGGATTCGCACTTGAACTCAGCCACATACCCCCGGATCAAGCACCGTTTATACAACCGTCCCGTTGCATGCACGGACCTTCCTCGACGTAGGCAGAGTGCGTCCTCCGGCCCCAGCGTGAGTTTGCGAGAAATGCAGAACCTCGCGCAGGTGCTGAATGAGGACCTCATGGGAAAGGGGGTTTTCATGAGCACCATGTCTTTGAGCTGCCTGATTTACAGTTTAAGGGAATTTTGCCCAGATAGTGCATCCCAATTTTATCCAATTACCCTGCAGGTAGTGGCACGGTTATGGATGGTTGGTCCCGTTTGGGATGCCAAAGTTGCTGATTCCCCATCCAGTGTGTCCCCAAGGTTTGTGGGTGTTCCCTTCTGTGATGCCAGAGGGTCTCTCCGCTCAAAGTCAAACATCTGGCAGTGGGAAGGCCATCCTGTGGCATCACAGAGGCCAAAAGCCGAATCCCATCGATGCTAAAGTGGCTGATTCCTATGTCCACGACTTAGTTTTCATTTTAAAGGCACGATAGAATATACAGTTCCAAAGCCGTTCTGTTTTGTTTTTTGCTTTTTGGCGAGGGTGTTGGGTGGAAGATCGGGGTCCGATGGTGAAGAATCCACAAGGAAACAGAAGGAGGTTCCCTTGGCTTGACTGGTTGCCAGTTCTCCAGTGCCCTTGCCTGCTTGAGTCGGCCAACGGACCACGAAAAAAGAAAAGAAAAAAAGGCCCCTGGGGTTCAAACCACCATTAACACAATGGGGGTTCATATAACCACCATTGTTTTCCAAAGGATTGTCATCATTTAAATTGGGTCAATCTTTCTTTTAATGGGGGTTGAACCCTAGGGGTTCCCTTTGTCAGCTGGTTGCAATGAGTCATTGAAGGGCTTGCACATGCTTACCCTTAAAGCCCCGGGTCCGCTTCCCTGTCGGACACAGGGTCCCTTTTGCAACCGCTGGTTAACTGGGATTCGTGCTCTTGAGCAACCATTTCCCAGTTGGTTCCCTCAAATGATTGTTGGGTTCCATGCTCTTCTTTCAGTACCCGGAAAGTGGGCATGGTGTTCAACATGTGTTTTTTTGGTGCCATGCTTTTTAGGATCTACGACTGTCAGTCATCAAATTTTCATTTAAAGGATATTTGCCAAGGAACATGTAGTGTCACTATGCATATCTCTCACAGAACCTTTGATTGGTGGTTTGGATTTGAGCCCCTTCTAAGCTGCAGAGGTACCCTCTCGATGAACAAAGTGCACAGACTTTTGTAGAAAGACGACTTTCCTCTCTGGGAAGCTGCATCCCAGGACCCCTCCCCTGGGCTCGTCCGTGGCGGCACCGGCGGGACCGGCCGCCTGCCGCCCTCAGTGGCTCAGAGCGCCCAGCTGCCAGGGCCTCGGGGCGCACGTTCGATTTGCGCGGCGTTGGAGTTACACGTGGGAAGACTTGCCCAGCTATTGGGCACATATATGTACATACATATATGTATATATATAAGCACATGCATACTTGATTGCTATTGGGTTGGATCTTTAGACTTGAACTTTTTGAAGGAAATCAAAGGGGGTTGCCATTAAAGCCACACAAAGTTTAAACAACTTTTTGCAGAGCTATTGAATCAAATCTTTAGCATTTAACTGTTTGGTGAAATCAAGGGGGTTTCCATTAATCATTAAACGCACAAAACATTAAACACTTTTTGCAGAGGGGTCAACGCAACCAAGTGCTTGCCCAGTTATGGGAAGACCAGTTTGGTGGCAAACAAGTTTGTATTTTTCTGACCAATTTACTCACAAAGTGAGAATCCCCACGACACTTGGCAAACGGAGGTGTTTCCCAAAGGAATCGGAAATGCCATTTCCTAAATTGGCCATGGTTTGAACGTAGAGTCCCCTGAAAACCACCCCAGAAAGGGGTCCGTCATTTTGAGAAACTCCAACTTCCCCAAAGATGCCGGGGGATAAGCTGCTAAATCAATTCAATCTTTCGATCGACCCAAGAAACTGAGCCATCGAAGCCCGTCAGTCCATGCTACCTTCATCCAACTTTCGATGGGGTGGTTTTCCGAGACCCAGAAGTGACCAGTACTGTGCTTTCCAGAAAGTTCACATGACCCTGTTTTTACCGAAATCCCAAATAGGGCATTATCCCTTTCAGGCGATTTCTTTGCAGAGGACTTTTTGGGTTGCAGGTTAACCTGCAGGGGAGTATCAGTTTTTAAAGCTTTAGTATTGCCTTTTGGTCTCGTGCTTGATTTGTTGAGCTTGGGTCGGTTGAAGGTCCAACATCCGCTCTCCGGCTGTCACCCGTTCGCCAAGCGGAAAGACCAACTCGGCTTCGAGGGGCCTTTGAGGGATCCCTTTAAACGGTCGTGCCGGTAGCTGGGCCCGGTGCTTCAGGGGAAGCTGAAAGGAAACCATGACTACGTCTGTCTGGCCGTGTTTAGCGTGAATGTCTCACCAGAGGTTCGCTGGGCGCGGTGCTGTGCGACAATGTACCAGTTGTTTTGTGCCTGAGCTTGGCTTGGCTGCCTTGGAAATTCCGGGCTGCGGGGTTTTGCCGGAAACCCTCTCTCAAGCGACAGAGTAGTCGTGGGGATGGAAATCCCATGGTCGTGGTGTCACAAGAAATTCGTTTTGTGCCCAATCCTCCCTTGTTGGGTTCCACGTTATTTTACTGGGATTTCAGCCAAGAAAGGTATCAACAAGGCGACTTGCCGCGAGGTACTTGATGAACATCGCGCAGTCCATTGCGCCGTACGGCACACCACGCGAAATGCACCAGCCTCGAAAAGGCCTGTTTCTTTCTTTTTGTTTTTCGCGCCTTGCGAAAGCTTCGACCCAACTGAGGCATGCAGCCCTCCCACAAAGGGTGCCCTCAAAACCAAGGCGATCCCCTTTTCGATCTGGAATATTTGGCATCCTGTTTCTTCTTCTTCTTTTGTCTTTTTCTTTTTTTGGTGTGGCCTTCTCACCAGTGCACCAGTGCCAACCTCAAGGGTTCCACATGTTTTGCCTTGGGTGACTGAACCGCTGGGTTTGCTTCAGCGCTTCAACCGCACCCGGAGGCCCGGAGTGGGACACGCTCTTAGTGGACACCTCCCGCACCTTGGGCCTGCCACGGGCTACGGTGCAAGCAGCGCTGGAGACGCAGCTGGAGCGCGCTAAAGGCGTCTCCTGAGACGGCGCCTGTTATTCGGCGCTTCTGCAGAAAGAGCCTTTGACCTGGGGATGTCTACGGCTTAAGGGCAATACGGCAATACGCTTTCAAGCCCAGCGGAGGTCGCTTTCAAATCTTCAAGCCATGGTCGTTTGTACTGGCCCTTCAAGTCTTGCAGTTTGGGGGGGGCTTGTTGGGGGGTTCAAAGGCTCTACGATTCTTTCAACTGATTCCCGTAAAATGCGAAGCCATGGATTTGGTCAAGGACGGCCTGACGGGAAAGGTGCGCGGAGCCTCCACGGAAGCCTAGGCAAGAGGCACGTTACGCCCCAGCTTCCTGAATGGCGGCAAGACTTGTGCACTGCGGGTTGTGGTCCCCTGCTGAGTCCCTGAACAGCAGAGCTAAGACATAGATGGTGCACGTTGGCATTGCGGCATGGGGCAACGGTGGCAAATCATATGTACGCTAAAGCTAGTTGAAGTCAAGGTCGCATGATGTGCGGCAGGAGGACCGCCTACCATTTTCCGGATCAGTCTTCCAGATTTCCTGGGTTTGTCCGTGCCTTCGACCGATTGAGCCTGGCGCGGCTGGAGGAAGGATGATCGGCCAGTCTCGAGAACTATGTTGCTGATTTTGAGGCGTTGTCTTTGCGTATCCCCGGGCAGGGAAAGCCCCTTTCTGGTGGGTTCACCTTAAAGTTTCCTTCAGGCGTTAAACCAGCCGGAGAAAGCACAAGACAAGAAACGACCATTGGGCTGTCCGGATCTCCCTCACGGCTTTCCTCGGTTTCCTCCAGCTGGAATTGAAATCGGATGGCGCCACGATTCGCCCGGGTGGCGAGTGTTCGGAGTCGCCATCCACAGGTTTTTTCTGAACCGCAGCGTCTTACTCTTCGGTACCAGGTTCTGCTTATACGCGGGAGGCGAGGTGAATGTTGACGTTCGCAAGGCAAATGTTTCACTTGAGTCTCGCTGCCGGGAGATAGTTTGCAATGTGAGAAGGAGGTCGCCTGAAAACTGGCAGCGAGTTGTACAATACAGCCTTTGCCTGAAAACTGGCCATGGGCTGCCCCGAAAATGAGCCCGAGGGAGGAGAAAGCCAGCGAGGGCGCAGTGCGCAGTCCAACTTTTTCCTCCGTACGTGCACAAACCCAGACTTATGAATAGGTGTCCTTCGTTACCATATAGAAACAACCAGGAAACCTTAATCTGTCGCTTAGTGCATTCCGGTTATACAGCTTCCACGGTTTTGATTTGGATGCGGAGGGGCTGCCACAATTGGAGTGAAGTTTGTATTCTGCGCCTCTCACGGGCCTTTTCAGGGCTCATTCAGTTTCTTCCCCCCCCCCCAGTTCCACCGCCTAAGGATCCATGAGTTGCAGTTCCATTTTTTTTTTCCGAAAGGCAGAGCACAGCCTTTTAGAAGACTGCTTTCCTTTTGGATTTTCTCTTTGGGCGGATATCAACTTCGACCATCTCCTCGCGCGAGGTGCCCTGCAACATGGGCCTGGAGGGCGACGGAGGGGACTTGATTCAGCAACTCGGGCGCTTCGTTTTGCCGTCTTTCTGTTTAGATTTTGAAGTATTGTTTGGCACAAATTGATTACCAAACACAACATCGCTGCCAGGCGCATGCCGGCGATGCTGAAAATGCCAATGTGTCTACTCTGAGGCATCCTCTTGGTCCGTAGCTTCGCTTTCAGCCAATGAACTGCCCGAACCAGTTTGGCCTGTCTTTTTGGAGGGTTCTGTTTTTCGTTGTTAAGGGAAACCAAAAGGAAAACCACCAATTTGCCGGGGTCCCCTAAAAACCATGCAGCAAGCAAAGGGAAACAGGTGCCCTACTTGAGTTCCACCTGGGTCTTGATGGACCACGGCATGTCTCTAACGGGACCCGCCTGCACAAGCGACCCCGCGCTTTTGCAGCTTGCCTAGGGTGCTCATGCCAGCCTTGGCGCTGAGGCATGAGCTTTGTGCGTGAGAAATGAACTTATTTTGTGTACCTTGCAGGGTTTCCGAAGAGACCATTAGTTTATGTCACTTCGGTTGCCGTCATTCAACCCCTTCTCTGCCCCAACTTGTTGAATCGAATCAATACGATGCTGCTGCGAGCGTGAGTGTTTAGACAGCTTCGATTTGTTTGCCAGAAACGGTTGCCAACTATTCCGCGGTTTGGGTGGGAGTTGGTTTTGCAGCGAAATGATGCGCGGTCGCTGGGTTTTCCAGCTTGAGGATGATGGTGGAGATACCCACCATGGGCGGCTCTCAAGCTCGCTTAGCGATCCTGCGCCCTGCCTGGAAGATTTGCAGAGTATATATATATATATATATAGAGCCTACCTGGAGTCTTCATGACTTTAACTTTTGGGAAATCAGTGGATTGTCCATTGGACCCACAAAAGTTAAACTGTTTGCAGAGGGGTCAACAGCAACCAAAGATACTTGTATGTGTATTGTATGTATGCTGTGTATCTCTTGGCTTCTTTTGGTTCGATCTTTAAGCTTAAACCTTTGAAAATATTAGCGTTTCCCACTAGCTCAAAATATGTTAACCATGTTGGGGGTAATCTCCGGCGAGTCTTGATAATTGGATATGGACGTTTGCGACGTGCAACACGGCGGCCCCGGTTTTGACAACAAGCGCATCTCCAAAATTCGACCAGGTGGCTTTGGCTTGTGAGTTGTCCCTGCGGATAACAACTAGCATTTCATATGGCAAGCATTTTCTGGCATGCTTGTATATGTCATATTTTTGAAGGTTTTTGTTTATCAATGAATGCACTATGTTATATGTGCATGACCTTCGGGTCTAACCAACTGGTTTCCGCCCACTTTCACTACGACTGCGCTTGGACAATGTATGGCGCCTACTTGACCCCTTCCCGCTTCACGTGTTTTGTCAACTGGCAGCCTTGCGACCAGCTTTTGTGCCGCCTTTGAAGGGGTCTGAATTTGTCACCATTGACGTGGCACGCCACATGGCTGTCAGAATTTCCATTTACTTTTGACTGGTTCCAATGTGAGAGCTAAGGATAATCCAGTTGTAGTTTTTTGTCCGATGTTTGCCAGTGTAGAGGTTGCGGGTAGTGTGACACGTGCTCTCGACAGGTGTGTATTTTTTCCATTGCTGGCTATTTGCCTGGAGGACCCGCCAGCGAAGCTGACTCAGCGTCTCATTGCGGCCCTATTCCTGAGTCAGTTTAACGCCCTTTGCGGCAAACAGGGTCCACTTTCCAGATGCCCAGAATCCCACACAAAGACGGCAACGCATGCGAATTTGGCTGCCGCTTCAGCCTGCTGCACATCATGACAAAAGAACAAGCCAAGACAAACATAATGATCATAATGTTTACCTCTGATTTGAAAAGCCCCCCCAACCCAACCCACCCCCTTCAAGCTCGACAACTGTAAGTTTTTGGAGGACCCCTTGATTACAGCCAAAACTGGAATTCTTGGCCCCTGCTGGCCAAGAGGACTTTACAGCAGGTGATTGTTTGAGCCCACAAGGGTCATAGAGGGAGTCCTCCGCGAGCTTAACTCCTCGCCATTGTGAACAAGCCTTAGTAAGACAACTGCATTTGGGAAGCACATCTTTTGGGAAAGCTTCTAGTAATGGTGGCTTAATATTGTTGGGTTTAAGCGCCGACAAGGCAAATGCAAAGCAAAAAGGAACCTTTTCGGGCTGGTTTTTGTCCTTGGAGCTGCAGGAGGGTACCTTTAATCGGGGGGGTTTTGGGAGGCCCAAAAAGAGATTGAGTAGGGTGCTTTGTTGTTTGTTGGGCAGCTCTGTTGACTGGTAGTTTGTTCAAGCACCCGTGTATGTGTTGCACTTGGTTTGGTTTGTTCGTACTATTTTACGTGTGGCTGTATTTGTTTGTGTTGGTTCGTAGCGTTCTGCTTTTTGCTCGTGCGACCCCAGGACATGCGTGTTTCAATTCAGCTCGAAAACCCAGGTTGCTGAAGGGAAGCAATGGTAAGTATCACATTGTTTATATATTTTTTGGGTGATGTCCTGTTGCCTCTTCCTTTTTCCCAAACGGCTCCAATTCCTCCAATGAGTTGGAGGCTTCCGCTAAATGCCCAGAGCGCAAAACTTCGGCGACCAGGGGCCCTGGATCAAGGTTTGACGAGCTGGCTTTGGCCAGATTTGGGCGGTCAAATGGATCTTTGAGTGCACCCCTCCCCAGAGGCAGACCCCATGTTTTGCACAAGGCAACTTTCAGGCACTTTGGTGGACAGGGTGGACATGGTTCGGATTGACACCCGCGCCGGAAAACAAACAAAAACACGTGGTTTCAACATGTTTCGCTGGTTGCCGCCGGGCGGCCGCAAGCCGTCAGGACTGCTCGGAGAGCCCGCGGATCGCCAAGCGCTTTACCAAGAAGACGGAAGTGCCGCCGCAACTGCTGCGTTTGGAGGACGGATGTGATGTTCCGCTTGGTTTCTCAAGGACCCCGGCCTTTTCACGAAAGGGAATCCCAAAGGAAGACCACCGGTTCCCTATGTTTGAGCAACACTCAGTTAATGCTGACCCTTGCTCCCTCGAAACATCACTTGGCACTCAAACAGTTTATGAAAGACTTCTGGCAAAGCTCGCAACTATTTGAGTGGCCGTCCCCCGGATTGAGCAAGCTGGTAGGTGAGTTATAGATCGGGGTTCCACCGATTTAACTGATTTGGACTGTGTCGCCCTTGAAATCCCATTTCTGGCAAGCTGTTTGCCAATGACATTCTTTGGGCTAGGATGGAACGCTTCGTTTTTGCCTGGCTGCCCCCCTTAGCAGGGTTGACGTTTACAGCCCGCACGAACAACCTGGCAGATTGATCGGGAGTGTTGCGCCAAAACGTCTGCGTGCCTCGAGCGTTCATGGAGCAGCCACTTTTGCCTTCGTTGCCAACGGCATGCGGGCGGCCCATGTCACCGATGTGGCTGAAGGCGTCCTTCCGCAGCTTATGCGAGTCTCTTTGGAGTGGATTCTGCCGTGGCTTCTGGCTTGCGCAGCCGGTTTATGAAGCCCGCCGCTGCCCAGCCGTGTCCCCTGCGGCCAGCTGCTCCAGGCTCTCATCCCCCAGAATGCTCGGGCAGCATGTCCTCGCCAACTGGCCGCACGCTCTGCGCTGGCCCAAAAGTACCCTGTTTTTCGCTTTTGCCCCGCCGTGTGTCACGGCCTGTGGTTTTTGGGCCCCTTTTGCTTGTCCCCGCGATGGCATGCCTGTCGCCTACACTTGCTTTTCGCCTTGGTTTACTGAAGCGCCGGCTTTCTTGGCTTTGCTGCTTCGGGGCACGGCAGGCACAAATGCGTTTGACCCACCGCCCGTGTGAGAAACACAAGTGAAGCATTCAGTTTTATTTGGGCGTCTTCCAATCACGTGGTTTATGTTTTGGGAGCCTGCGTTCCCATACCTCGGGCATTTTGGCGAAATTCCTTTCAGCGAAGAGATCTTGTCTCATGAGACCCTGATATCTTCCGTTGATGACGTATATTGCCTTCAATGTTTCTGCCTTGCATTTCCTTTGTTTTCCCTTTCAACCAGCAACAAGAGCTGCTTTGCAGTGGATCTAGGTTTGCTCCGGACTATCTGGACCCCCCCCATCCCAGGCAGAGGCCTGTTGCCAGGACGAGGATGTGCAGGCGGAGAAGCAGCGGGTGGCAGACGTGGATCCCCGAAAGCAGGCGGCGGGTTTTGCGGTGAAGTCCAAGCCGTCGCCCCCCGTCTTGAGTGCCTACTTTAAGGGAGCCTGTGGTCCCAGAAGAAGCCTGGTGGACGATGAGAACGCAATTTCACTTGCAAACGGGATCTGAGCTGTTTGTTTGGCCGATGCTTAGTTGCCCCCAAAAGGAAAGCTCTTGACGTATTTTTCGTCAACCGGCCATTTCCCCAGTTAAACGCACAGCCCCGCCGAAAGCTTCGTACTCATTCACAGATCAATACAGATCAACATGGAACTAACCCGACAAGCGCGATGCATGTTTGGAAGAAGCTCCTTCTGGGAAAGTTATCTTCTGGTTTTTGGGGTCCCTGTAGAGTAGGGTCTTGAAACTTGCAAAGCAAGCCCTGAATAACAAGCGGGTTCTATCAATGGCAGGCGTCACGCTTGAAAGGCAATTGGCAGCTTGACTGCTCTAGTCATGTTTTAGTTTTGCACTGGTGTCCTTTGTATGTTTGGGGATGTTTACTGTTTGGCCGATGGTTTCAACCCCCTGCAGAAAATCGGAAGCAACTTGTGTGTTGTTTTTTCCTTTTCCTGAATACACTGTTGATTCCCCCAGTTTGTTGAGTTGTGCACCAGGAAGGCCCTATTCGCCATGGGACACTGGATACTGCCGCACCTTTCGGAGAGGGGTCAAGCCAGATGCAGGTGATGTACGTCCGCGGCTTGCGCAAAGCCTATGGCTCGCTGCTGAGCTCGCAGGCCGGTGGCGCAACACATAGCCCCGTGGTGATCCCTTGAAGGTTCATCCGCCAAGGACTCCTTTGAGAGGTTAAGCAATGTTGACTAGGTCCCCCCAGTGCCCTTTCTCCCCCCTTTTTTGGTTGCGAGGGTTCCCCGACTAAAATAGACTACACAAAAAATTAGGTACCCTCATTCCAAGCTCGGACATCCTTTTCATCCTTAGGACTTAGATCCTGTGCCCGCTGGTTTTTCAGACCGCCCCTTCGATAACCCGCAAAACACCCTAAAAGCCTCTCCGCCTGGTCAAAGGCAATCCTGTACCGGTCTCGAAAGTGGTGTGCTTGGAGTGCTTTGTTTCGCTGATGGATTCGGATTGGCCAAGCCTCCATTTGAAGCCCAGTTTGAGCGAAATGACAATACATATAATACAAAGTAGTGCCTTTTCATTGTTGCCAACCATTTGGCAAATGTGTTTTGACCCTGTGCGCCCGTTCATCGTTTTGGGTCGACAAGCTAACCAAACCTCTTGAAGCAACAGGTGTTGCGCTTTTTGCAGACGTTGAGCTGACTGAAAGGGGTACCCTTCATTGATTGTGGGGAGTATGCCGGTAGCAAACAATGATACCGGCATATTTGGGGCTGGGGGGTGTTCCACTCTGCATTTAAGAAAGCCACGAGGGGGTCCCAGAGGACAAAAGGAGGGTATTGGTGAGCCATGATTTGGTGGAAAACGTGGAACAAAGACAAACCAGTTGAACAAATGTGTGCTTATTAGGCGTCATTGCGGTGCCGCCGACCACACAGCCGATCTCAAGCCCTCTTTGACTTTTTGTCTTTAGGTGCGGGGGGGTCGGAATCACAATCCCGACCTGACTTGGTCAGAATGGGGGGGATTCGAATCCTTGAAGGCCACCCATGCGGTGCGCGGGGTCACCTGGGCCGCGGATCAGGCGGGGCCCTTTTCAACCTTCTGATGGAAGGCTATACGGGAAGGCTATACGTTTGATCACCTTCATTGCCAAGGTATGGCCTCTTGGGGTTACCAGGGGTGCTCATGACCACTGGTATTGACGTCACCCCCTTCTGCGTACGTATAAGAACCCTAGAAGCAACGCCTCTTCTAAGAAGGCGCCCTGCCGATACTCAGAAGGGGTTTCATATGGTTTCATCCTCTCCCCCGGACGCTCACGGGAATAGGAATAGGACGCTCACGGCACAGAGCTGGAGGAATCACCCAACAACAAAGGGCAGGCCTTGTTTTTTTTTTGGGGGGTACCTAGCCACTCAGCGTTGAGCCTTTTGCAGCGTCTTTAGACGGGCAAGCAACCAGAACTGAACGGTGGACTATTTCCAGGGGCTGACTCTGCAGCGAATTGCCGAGTCCTAGCTTTGTCTATTTGTGTGAGGCATTCTCCCTACAGGCATGCGGTGTCTTTCTTTCTGGGGAGGGGGCCATGGTGGTTGACTCATCCCCACCCCCTGAAAGTGGAATTTGGGGAGGTTGGTGCTCCCTGCAATTTCACTTGCGGCCCTTCGCAGAGAGAGCAACTGGATTCAACAACTTCCAAGCCGGCGGCCTGCCCGGGGGCTGGGGGGTGGGCTTCAGCCAGGGGATGGTTTTCGGCCTGCTGGGCGTCAACGGTGCAGGCAAGACCACCTCCTTCAAGCTCATGTCAGGCGCGCGAAACGCAAACGCGGGGCCGGGACTTTGGCGACGCGGCCGTTGGTGCGCAAGAAGTGCCTCGATGGCCGAAGTGCGCCGGCAACCAAATTAGGGACAGGCAAGAAGAACGCAGCAGAAAGCAAAGCAACCGTGCCGAAGCGGAGCGAAGTAGGAGTGCTGTAAGGGTGTACTCAGCTCGTCATGACTTGAGCGCAACAAGCGTCAGCATTTGGAGCCATAGGTTTCTCACCATTCTTGCGGAACATGGTTTGTGTTGAATGGTTTGCCACCGCATGACTTTCAAAGATCTGTACATGTACACCGCTAGGTTGCTCACCTTTCACCCGGGTCAAGCCTCTCCTCAGATTTCAGGCTAAAGCAGTCGTGGAACTTTTCAGACAACCGCCTCCCACTAACACGGAATCCTGACGGCAGCTCCCTGAAAAAGCAAGTTCCTCTTAGAAGGATGTTGTTTGTTGGAGGGGTTTTACTTTGCTGACAAATGTATGGCCTGCCAACAGCCACGAGGTTTTTAAGGATGGCAGTAGGACCACCCTTTGCAGCGTTGCCCCGTTGGGCACTTGTGTGTCCGCCACTTTTCAATTCAGCGTCATATTGCAGCTTTTTTGGTCCAAAGGCCGACCATGGATCTCCAGGTTTGGCCTAGCTTGTGTTTTTGGCTAACTTGTGGTCTAATGTGTTTGATGCTTACGAAACATGGATTTGGTCTACAACTTCACCTTCCTGTTGTTCCACTTGCTGCAAAAGCACGGCTATCCTGGACTGACCCGCACCATTGGATCCCGGCAAGAGCGCACAGGGCTCGTTTTGGCCCGCCCCGAATTTAGGACACGGCTCGAAAAAAGAGCCTTTTCGCGGGGCAGGTATCCTGACGCCGTCAGCTGGAGAGGTTCGCATCCTCGGTGCTTCGCCTGGATTTCGAGCTTGTGAGTGTGGATCATTCTGGGTGAATTCCCGTTGCGGGGGATTTGTATGTAATTTGTTTTTCCAATTTTTGGGGATGACCAGATTTGGTTCCACCAGAGTGAGACGTTGAGAGTGTCACTGTGGACCCAGTTGTCGTTTTCAAATGGGAGCTCGTGGGTCCAGTCAAGGCTTTGCCACCACTGCGGAAAACTGATTGCAGCTAGCTGGCGCGGGACCGGGATAGTGGGTTTGGCATCTAGCCATACCGAGAGGTGTCAGTCAGTACTGTGGGTAGGAGGGGGTGAGGGGGGGGCCGTGGGTCAGAGTTTTCAAGCAAATCAGGACGCCAGGAACCTAAACACAATGATTCATGATGGGGTACTTTAGCTTGGCAGTCAGCCCAGCATGTTGCGAAGAGGCCTGTACATGACGCTTGTGATGCTCGACAAGTAGAGCGGCCGCTGTTGAAACATGTCCTGGGGCAGTTTGGAGCTTAGAATCTCCATGCTACTCCTTCTTCTCATCGCACGTAGCTGTTTTTCTTGCCAATTGGGGGGTGGGAGGGGGTAATCTTCAAAATGGCTGGCTCAACTGATGGAATTCCTTTGGGCGAATGCAGATGGGGAATCTTTGCCAAGGGATCGACATGGTCGAAGAGACGAGCCGAGCACGAAGATTGATCGGCAGCTTGGCGACATTACCGGATGTGTTGCAGAGACAGTGCCTGAAGAGGTCAGGTGCGGTAGTCCTTTCAAACCACCATTTGTTAGGACCGTGTTTGACCTCAGTTTTGGCTGTGTATGGGCCGGATTCTAAATCTGTCGTTCTTGGAGGGGCAGAAGTCGTCTCGGATAAACACATGATTCCCCCATTTTCAATTGACATGATCTTGGACCAAACCATTCCCAGAAAATGCGGGCGTTTCCGATGCGCGCGGATCATCCCTTGAGAACAGGCAGTAAAAAAGCTTAAACACAGTTATCCATGAGAACCCAAATGTCGAGCTCTTGATGGATCGAATCCGTCGTTTCAGCTTGGTGAATTGTTCGCGCTATGCCGCAGGCCGATTCGTTCTGAGGCTATTGCCCGCAGTTTGACGCTTTGATTCACGTCATGACGGTGGAATCCCACCTCTACCTCTACGGGCGAATGAAAGGCCCCTGGGTGCTGCCTTCCTCGCAGAAAGTCAGTACTGCCCCATACCGCTTCAAACGACATCGGCATCCCACGCTGTTGTTTTCAAATTTTAGGGCCTTCAAACATGCTCACTTCAATCAGAGTAACTGCTGATCTAGTGCCACGGTTTGCCCGCACAATCAAAAAACAAAAAGAACCTTGTCTGTTTTTGCTTTCGCAGGTGGCCTTCGAACTCATCCGTGAAAGGGCAACGTTTATAATTTGTCCTTTTTCAGGGTACCTCACTTTAGATGTTCTTCGAGCACTTGAAGGATCACTCCGCCCCTCTTTGAGAACTTATATGAGGCTGCCTGGTTTTGTACATGTAGATGCCAGCTCATTTTAGATATCCCACAGGTAGTTACTACCTGTCCCCCCAGGTCAGCACTTTCTCCTACTTTGTGCTTTTAAGCGTCGTTGCGCTGGCCAACGGGTGAATATGTTTGCCTGGGGATTTGGATCACTCGGCAGGCCTGGTGGGCCGCGATCTTCGGACGGCCGCACCTCGGCCGATGGAATTAAGCCGCAGCTTGGCTACCCTCTAAGCTCCAAGTCACCAACCTTCCATTTGATTAAGAGTATTATTCCCCGTTGGTTTTACAGGGAATCTATCACTACTGGATTATTTTTCCGGGAGACTGAAGCAAAATGGAGGCAACCCAAGCCGCCAATTATTTTAATTCTATTGAATGAGTAAACCGCCAGCGTAGACCTGTGCTGTGTGATTCTCTTTGCTTTCCCTTTGCCGTGTGCCGATCGGATCATGGGAGCCAGCCTGATCCGGAGAGTGAGGATTTTTTTTTCGGGGCGAAACATGGGGAGCCACTCGTGGAAAGCTCGTAGGACATCAAAATCCTTCAACCACACACATCTAGTTGTCTTCCCCTTTGTGGCTCCCCTGTGTGATTTGGCTACACCGCCAATGAGTCTGGGGAGCCATGCATGCCCTGTCCTTTTTCTGGACTGACCTTTGGCTGCAAGGCTGGAGAGCGCAGGCGAAAAGAGACGCACATCACAAGCCCAGGGCAACTCGACAGGTGGAGGACAAGCTCACTGAGATGCAGCTCCAGATGTACCGCGCCCGCCGGGCCGGCACGCTCTCTGGAGGCAGGGAGGGAGGGGAGGGGGGGGGCTTGGAGTGAAGTGCTTCCCATACAACGGACATTGTGACGCGGAAGCCTTTGGAACTCTTTCTGGGGGCAGGGCAAAGAAACCATTCCTCCAAAGGATCTGGAGAGGGGGCATTTCAGGATTGCATTCTTGGAGCCACAGTTGTTTAACCTACGTGAACTCTTCCGAAGCTGCATGCCGCAATCTGCACTTTGTCCAGGCAGGCCTTATGGCCTGACCATCCGTTTTTCCATTATTCGCACAGATGACCGCCGAAAGTCGTGCCAGGCGCCTTTCTCCCAAAGCCAAGAAGCCGTTTCGACCCTTTCCGCTTGAAGGTCTCCAGGTTTGCACCTAGCTCTGCAGTTTCATAGCTTCATGGGAACACCCACTATTTCTTGGCAAAAGCCCAACGAGATGTGGTTTTAGCTAAGCACAACAAGCACAACACCACCAAGGCGAGGGATTTCCTCTTTTTTTGTCCGGAGATCCCCGGATTCGCGGTTTTCCGGGCTTGGCGCTCGATGTCTCGATGGCAGGGAACAAGCGCAAGCTCTCGGTGGCAATGGCTCTGATTGGGGAGCCCCCAGTGATCTTCCTGGACGAGCCGAGCACAGGCGAGCGTCGACTGCGAGCGTTTTTTTTTTGGGGAATCCAACGCGCTTGGTGTGTTGTTTGTGCGCGTAGGGCCAGGTGAAACAGACTACGTGGTTGTAAGTACCAGGCAATGTGGAGTTTCTGTCTAATTCTGTCTACTGTTTGGTTTCTTGTACCTGTACCCTGTCTGGCATATTGCTCTCTTCTTTGTTTGACCCCAGTTGTGCAGGTCCGTTCGGGAAGTATCCTTCAAGGAAACCTCAGGACCTTTACCACTGGAAGCCACAAAGCATTTCCTTGCAATCTCAAAAGTGAAGCACCCCGCATTGGGAAAGCCAACTGCTTGAGTTGTTCGAGGGGCCTATGGTCCAAGGCTCTCCTTTGGGTTTCCAGTTCTGGCCTACTTGTCTGTCGTGAACTCACAAGGTTTACTTTAAATTCCAGGTCTTGCCTGCAAGTAGGAAATTGTTTTGTTGCGTTGAAGGTTGTCACTCTTGGTCAGGTCAGGTCACCTCGTGAAAGTAATAAGTTGGGCTTTCACCAATATCGCCTCAGGAATGCAAAACCACTGGAGAAGCAGTCTACCATGTATCCGACAGACTGGCTTCCACCAAGCAGCCATGTGTCTTTTCTGGCAGCACATAATTATTCTGCGGAGGTGTAGCGTTATGGCCGACGCGCGGAGGGGAGGCTTGTGACCTTACCCATTAAGAAGTGTTCTTTGTGGAGGTGCCAGGTGTTCGTGTGAAACAAGCATATCGACCTCACAAAAGGGCTTTGCGACCTCATGATAAAAGCCTCCCTTCATAGCTCTGCTTACTTGAGGTTGGAGATGTTCTTAAATTCCAGGCAAATTGATTTGATCTTACCCGAAAGGGTTAAACACTAGCCTTCGTGCGGCCGCCTTGCTGCGATTTGCTTTGGGCCCAAACATCTATGTGATCGGGCATGTCGAATGCGAGCAATCTGCGTTGCCAGGCATGGACCCCTTCGCCCGGCGCTTCATGTGGTCAGTGATCCAGGAAAGATGGAACGGCTTCTGGGTGAGGTGGATCGGCCCTCAGGGCCGGCCATAATCCGCTTGGGTTTAGCCGGAGTGACCCGAAAGTATCTGTGGGACCCAGATCAACTTCCTCTTAAAGAGACCCGCCAGGCGGCAATGGCTTCGTTCCCCTAAACACGCCAGCTGTTGGCTGCCAATGTTGATTGAGGACCCCTTAAGGGTTGAAGGGTAAAGAGGACTCCACACTTCACCAGAATGTCTCTACTGGATCGTTCTTTTGGTGTGGGGGTGTCCCCCTGTTTATCTGAAAGGCGTGGAAAGTGGTATCCGTTTTTTATGGGTTCAGTGGTCTGGGCGTCAGCCTCTGCAGCTGCTCTTTGGGTGCTTGGACTGGACCTTGGGTGAAACGCTGGTACGGTTCACATGACATATCACCTGGCTGTGGGTCAAAGCCAATCGGATCCCATTTTGGGGTAGGTCACTGGGGGTACGGGCTTTTGACCCATGGCTGCTTGACACCGATTGAACAACTCTAAGAAAAGCCTTTACCTGCCAAGCGGGGGTTGTCATGGGAAGGCCCCCGCGCAAGGAAAAACCCTGCACGCCGTATGCCGGCGCAAGCGCTTTTTGTGGAAACATGCTGCATAAACGTCCGCGCAAGCTCAAACCCTTGCAGGGTGAAGTTGAAGTGAAGTTTTGTAGTTCGAAACTGTGCCCGGCACGCTTTCAGGGGATGTGCAAATAAGGTATAGGGCTGCGCGACTAGCGCAAAACTATGATACCACTGCGGGCAACTTGCAGCATTGTGTATGCACAGTTAAAGCGGGGCCGGGTGCAGGAGGCTGACATGGTTTTGCAGATCTTTGTTGGGCAGGGGAATGTTGCTTTAATGTTCGGTGAAGTTTCCGGCGCAGCGCCCCTTGAAGTCCATGGGGAAGTTTCTTGTGAATTTTCTGTGAAGTCTTTGTTCAAAATCCCCTTCGGACATAATTCAGAGAATTCCGCACTATTGTTCACAGCGCTGTTTGGCAAGGTCTTCCACCCAAGACTTGGCACACATACACAGCCAGCCCGTCTGTACTGCGTGCGTGGGCGGCTCCTTCGCACGAGTGGGGAAGAGGGGACCGAGGGTTGCCCGTCGCGCAGTCCTTGGGCTGACAGCTCAACTGTTCGGGGCCTTGATGGGTGGCTTGCTTTCGGGTTTGGCCAATAAGGGCCCAACGGGCTCAGCCTCGTGGCTTCTTTCTCCATTGGAAGTCGCAGGACGTGGCGGAGAAGCGGAAGCAGTCAGTGGTGGTACTCACCACGCACTCCATGGAAGAAGCGGAGGCGACAATTGCGGATGATCGAGCTCACCGATTCGGGGTCAAAACGAGTCCACCCATGAAGGTCTATAGGAGTCCTAAGGCCATAATCCACACACGGCCGTGTTTGAATTTGCTGTTTTGCGACGTCCGGCCCGGCTTAATCTTGACACAACCTCGTCTGGCCGTCCAAAGCCTAGACGGGCTAGGTTGTTCTTACAAAAACGGGCGCCTCTTTTAGGTATGAAAGTGTTTGCTTTCCATAAACTTTTCCCGGTGAGGCCTCCGTGAAACTTCTTATTGGTGGTAGCCTTCATCATTCGAGCCAACGGGCGCAAAGCGGAGAGCAGTGGGGAAAAACGAGTTGCAACATGCAACCCAACCAAGCCAAGGGAACCCCTGTTGAGGATCGCCTGGTAGAGTTCGCCAATTGATTTTGCAGCGTTGGGAAGATCCCAGCCTGGACTTCAGTGTCCGCTCGCGGGTTATGGGCTGCCCACCATAGTGTTACACTTTCACTTTTCCGTCTGGAAGCTTCAAGGACCCCCCCCCCTTCTCCTGTAGGACATATTTGCAATCAACCACAGCAGGTGGAATCAACAGAAAACGCATCCCACTAAGTTGGCGCGATGCAGGAGTAGTGTCAGGAAAGATTGGCATTTCTGACTCTAGATGCAAAGGATGAGACATACTTTGACGTCCTCTTGTGGAGCCTTTTTGAATCACGACAAGTTCAGTTTGTTCACACCATCCATTTAAGGACTGGCCTCGCAAGGGAGTCCGGACGAGACGCTTCTACTTGTTCTTGAGGGGTCATGCCCCCGAAATACATATATCCATATATATATATATACATATAATCAGAGCCCGAAAGGGAAACATCTACTTGCTCCTGAGGGTCTTCCGGAAGGGAAGTATCTAAAGGCTCATAGTGCCCCCATTTCAGTACATGTTTACACACAGCTGATCAGCACATGTAGCATTCTTGTATATGTACATATGTATGTGAGTATAGGTTAAACAATCATATGTCTGCACCCCTGTGCGTACATGAATCTAAAAGCAAGGAAGTACACGTTCGAGCCCCAGCCAGCGGCGCGGTTGTTTGGTGGACTCGAGAAGTCGGATTTCATGACCCAAAGGAAGGTCTGCCTTTGGCTAAAACCACCCATCTCAACTTCCTCGAAAAAGACGCCTGGTCGACTGTTTGCAATTTCGCAAAATGGACTTGTGAAATATGAGTCGGACCACACGTGTGCTTGACCAAGGGAGTGAAGCCGAGTTCCCCTCCCACTCCTTTCGCTGAGGCGCTCTGTAGCTACATCGCCATCCAAGTGGACGGTCAGTTCCGATGCTGCCCTGCTGTAACTGGGACTGGCTGGGTGCCACTGCGGTGCCAAAGACGTCTTGGTCGGAATCTCCTTGTGGGGTCCCGATCCTCTGGAAAGAGCTCCATCTGCAGATGGGGAGGGAAGCTGCAAGAAAGTGACTGAGGTTTCGGATCCGCCCAGCACCTCAAGTCCAAGTATGGCCAAGGCCGGGCAGTTGATCTGACGCTCCTACCAAGGAAAGCGTGGCTGAAACACCGATAGCATGTGAAGAGTCAGGTCCGTTTGCTAGGCTTGGCTCACCTTTGTCGCTCTGAAACAAAACTCCCACCCGTGAACAAGTGACACAAGAAACAAAGGTGAGCCAAGAAGTCCTTTGTCACTCACACTCCTTTCTTTTTCAAGCCGTGAACACGTCGTCACTCGGCCGCTGGGCCATCGCACCTCGCGACTCGCGACTCGCGACACGGCCCGAGGCTATGAGGTGAGCGCCAAGTTTCAACCGGTGGACCGAGACGCGCTGACGCAGCTCGCGGCCAAGATGGCGCCAGGCGCGCGGCAGGAAAACGGCCGGGGGGAGTGTATGCGTTTTACTCGGGGAATCAACCTATTGAAGGATGTCCTTCTTTGATGAACAGGAATTGGTATTTATTCCTTGCTCACCTTGTCCTTTCTGTAGCTCTTGATGTAGAGAAAAGGAGAGTTGATTACTAAGATGAATATTGGTTGGGAAGCTTGGAAGGGATGACAACTTGTTGTGCTTTCGCATTTTCAGCCCGAGTCAACCTTTCTTTGGGTCCGTGGGCAACTGAGTTAGGTCCTTTGACTTAAACCAAAACTTAGCCTCTATAAATAGGGGGGTCTGTCGTTTTCGCCGTACCCGAAAATAAAAGCGTAAACAATCACGTAAATAAATCAAGCTTTCTGGTTGGCCTGGCCCTTAACAGGAAGAGTCCGTAAATAATATGGTAAATAGTGAGGTAAATTAGTTGTAATTCATGTTCGCTTGCCCGATCTTGAGTGACCCTGCGTGAGCTGGACTTAGTGTCCCTCATGGACAGGGATGTGTGTTGGCAAGAATCTTCCCCTTCGCGAATTTAACCTGCTCGTATCACTGAAGGAAGGCAAAGCGTCATGAGTCATGAACCATTGGAAGAGCCGCGACAACTTTGACATGAATGTTCATGCGTACTGGTAGCTGCGAGCCACAGTTTTTGCTCGCCGGACGCAAAAACGTGTGCGCCCATGCTTGTGCTTGGGTTGCGTTGCCATGCTAATAGGCAGCCAGAGCCCCCACCAAGATACATGTCAATTTGTGTTTAGTGATCATGAGAAAGGAGATGTTGTAGGAACCGAGGACTAGGAACACTGCGTCTTGTCAAAGAACGTCCGGTATGTCCGGTCATTCATGCACACACGACTCTACGAGGTTGTCTCCGCGTGGCCGCTGATCCAAACCAGTCAGGAGTTGCAAAGGACGATTTTAAGCCTTGCCGTCTTGCAGCTTTGCTTGCCGTGTTGTGGTACTGTCGCGCGTTGTTTTTTGTTGTTTTCTCTTTGCCGCAGCTTCGCCTCGTTTGTCCGCAAGACCCAGGGAATCCAAGAACCGATTCCAGAAACCCAGTTGAGCAAAGGCCGGAAAAGAGGAGCGATCGATGCTGTCACATGTGCACGCAAGTTCTGCGGACGGACCTCCATGCTCAAAATGTGTCCCCTGAACGGTTCAGAACGGTTCAGCCAGCCTTTTTCTGCGTAAATGGTTGCGTCAATTTTCGCGTAAATTTCAGACAAGTCTTTGCCTTTTTGTGCTTTGAGATTTCGGATCGCTTTCGATGTTCCGATGCCGGCCTGACCTTTTACCTAGGACTAGGAACCGCCAGCCGCGTGCTCGCGAACCGTTCCGAGGAACGGTGGCAACCAAACTGCATGCCCCTGAACCGTTCTGAACCGTTCCGAAAGCAGTGGAACGCGTGCCCCTGAACCGTTCTGAACCGTTCCGGAGGCATTGGAACCCATGCCCCTGAACCGTTCTGAACCGTTCTGGAGCCCATCTAGCAAGCAGCGCACAGAGCAGGCGTATAGTTCAGAACCGTTCTGAACCGTTCTGAACCGTTCTGAACCGTTCGTCACTCAAGCTTCCCAGGAACCGTTCTGAACCGTTCAGGAGGGATTGCAGCATCATACTATGAACCGTTCTGAACCGTTCAGCAGTCATGGCAGCAGCATACCCTGAACCGTTCTGAACCGTTCAGGAAGAATTGCAAGCAGCATGCCCTGAACCGTGCTGAACCGTTCAGGAGGGATTGCAACATCATACCCTGAACTGTTCTGAACCGTTCGGAGACATTGGAGCATGCTCAGGAATTGCCCTTGCTTCTGCTCACGCATGCTTAGGCTTACCAACCACGTGTTTAAGACCTAAGATGTTTGGCCTCCTAACATTCGCACGGTAGCTGCTAAGGATTTAACAAAGATCATTCAATCAACACCTTGGGCGCTTGTTATGGGGATGGGAGGGGCGCGTTGGAGCCTTACCTTCTTTTTGCCAATGTTTTGCCATGGGCTTGTCTGATTGTGCGCCTTTTCTGTCTGTTCAGGCCTGTTACATGGCAAATGATGCAGCTTCCAGCTTCCAACATTGAGGCACACATTGTTTACATGAATACTTACATGAAGAGTGACGTGGTTTGTTACATGACTATTGGCCGGTTTTAACCTCCACAGAGATAGAGGCTAAGTTTTGGTCTAACCTTTGACCTCTTGGGCCCCAAGAGCTTGGAGTGAACCGCTTGCACTCCGAACCAACGCAGGTTGCTAGGCTTCCAGCGGTGGTTTCTTTTTCATTTGAGGTGGTTGCCATGTTTTCCGAAGAGGTGCTGGAAAGCGTGCCCGAGCAAAGCCTAGGGTTTCCCAATCAACTGTCAACTCTCCTGGAACCCTCAAGCGCACACGCTGGCTCAAGCCACAACAAACCAAACGGAGGTTCCTCCCCTTAAATCCTAAGGGTGACCAAAAGTTGATTTAGACCATCGTTTAACCAAATGGTGGTTTAACTGGAGGTGGTCTTGACAGTTGAGCCCAAAGGTTCTTCAGACAACTCGATCTTAAAACAGGCCCCAACAAATTCTCAGGATCACTGGGTTCTCCGGCGGCCTGTGCCGCTTCTTGCGGCCCGTTCTTTGATGTTCGGAGTGCCATTTAGAGGGCCTCTTTTGCTTTGTAGATTAGCTTGGAGAGATGTATCACGTTCCCTCAAAGAGATCAACAAACAAAGGTTCGTTTGGGCCAAGAGATTGCGAAGAACATGCTGATCGCTGTGCGGGCGTTGCTGCCTTGCTGATCTTCCCTTCAAATCCTCAGGGACGCCAAGCAGTTCGACTCCAGTAGGGACGAGGGACGTTAATTTCTGTGCCAAAGCCACAAACTCTCTTTGGATCTTTTTGAGCGTTGTCAGCCATTAACCAGGTCGCAGGACATGCTGAGACTTGTTACGCCGCGCCTATATGCGGCCCTGCATGGCGTTTGAATGACTTTGTTGAAAGCTCAATCCAAAGCTGCGACGCCCGCGACATCACCGAGGGAGAACGCGGGCGTGGGATTTTTGTGTGTGCCCAAAGCACCGTTCGCAGCCAATAGCCCAAGGATTTGGGTGTCGTTCCACCCATGGCTTGGGGCCAAACCCATAGCAACGGTCAGTTCTTACCATTTGGATTGGGGCACGTAGGACGCGGCCCAAATTTTGAGTTCATGGGCCGGTGAATTACCCAAGTTCCATGTCCAGGGCCCCTGACTCCTGACTGCGTTGCCCGGGTCCAGCGCGAAAGGCCGGGACTTGGACCGCAGCGGCTACACTATGATTTCCAGAGGGGAGGCCACGTGCATTGAGAGAATGATTGTGGCCGAACCCCCGGCATAGTACCCCCTACCATATTAACATGGAACCCAACACAAACCCACCAGAGGAATCTTCGCTTTGGGGACATGTTTTGCCATTTTTTAAGTTGAAGAGTACAACTCGGCAACGGGAAGCCTTGTGACCATAGGCAGCAATGGAACACTTGTAAGTTATAGTTTGTAGCTTTGCTAATTGGAGCCAACCGCAACCCAAGTTCACGAAATGGACTTGGTTTACCTGGTTTCGGCCCATGCTTTTTCCAGGTGAACATTGACGTCCAGGTCCTTGTGGTAGAAACTCAGGAACTGCCCCGACAGAGTGTGTTCATTTAAGATCATTTAAGCAAAATATTGTTCCTAGCTGTACATGCTACAGCCTTATTCCCTTGAAACAGGGGGCCTAAATGATGTACCGGGAGTTGTATGATGCGTATTTTGTGGGGGAACTTGCCTACAGGTTCCCTCCCCATCAGCTTCATGTCTGGAAGTCTCCGCCCCATTCTTGTCGGGACACGTTTCTCCATGCCCTCAAAGTTTGGGTTTGAGGAGCACCATGGAGTCAGAGAGGTGAAGCAGCCAATGCTACGTTTTGAATCAGGTTCCCCTTTTTGGCAAGATCACTTCCGCTTCCTGAATGATGTTGTTTTTCCCGTGTTGCCCGAATTGTCTCGAACGGACACTTGTCATGTAGCAGTTTGAATGGATGATCATGTCTTCATGTATGGTGAAGGGTGTTAAATTGTTTGACTCGCCCTACACACACTGAAGATGCTTTTCAGTGCCACTCCGACAAAATTACGTTGCGATGAATAAGGTCATGCCATGCTCACTCCCTAAGTTTCTGGACTTGATGCTTTTCGGGTTTAGACCATTTTAGAGTGGCAAACCAAAAAACTGAATTATTTGTTCTGCCAATCCACTGGATGCACTCGATCCGACGCTGGTTGCATGTCATTCCTCTCCTCTTGCGACTCGCGAAGAAGCTCCGCAGGCGGTGCAGGCCTTGGATCCCTCCATGGTGGACGCAGCCATCAAACCCTCGGGGCCGTTGCCGGAGGGTCAGCAGGCGCCGCATGTTCCTCGGATGCGGGTTGGTTTACTCGACTCCCGGTCCCGGTCCCACTTCCCGCTCCCGCTCCCTTCCTTCACTTCCCACTCAACTCAACCTGACTCACTGACTCGTACATTCACTCACCCACCCACGCCCACCCACGCTCACCCACTCACACACTCACGCACTCACTCACGCACTCGCTCACTCCCTGAGATTCTGGGCATATAACTTTGTGGGAAGACCATCTTGGTAGCAAACAACAAGTTAGGACTTTTGTTTGGCCATCCACTAAGGAAGTGCTTGCTGTGGCTGTGGATTTCAGCGGAGCCCTTCAATCTTGGGTGGCTTCGCGGCCCACTCAAAAATGAACTCCAAAGCGAGGGGGGTTCACCTATGCAGGGTTGCTGGACAACGGAGCAACTGTTCGTTTGTCCGGTCGCAGCGACTTAACCTGAACTGGCCTTTTGAAGATACTTGGAGTCAGGGCAATATTTGCATCGCGGCCTCAGATTCGGGCTTTGCAAGCTGACCAAGCATGCAAGCTTTGTACCTTGGGAATCTCTGCTTCAGGTTGTGAATGGTAATTTCGATAGTTTCCCGTACCCCACTGGAAAAAGAGCGCTGAACTACCGGAAGTTGGCCAAAACCGCGGCGATCTTTTGTGGCTGTTGTGCAGGATTTGCCTTTTGACCGCCTGGGGAAGTGCAAGGATCTCCTCAGAGGGTTTCTGCATTTCTGGCGGGGGGCCTGGACTTTCCCGCTTGGGCCCCGTTGACCATTCGCGACTCGCTATCGCAGGAGGTGGCGGCGGAGGTGCTGGCTGAGTGGGCCGTCACCCAGCGCCGACTCGCGGACCTGAAAGGCGCGGCCCGCGGACCAGTTTCACACAGCTAGGCTCAGAGGGAGGGATGCACGCCAGAGTCTTTGACATGTTTTATGATTTGCCGAATGCATTGTATACACACATATATGCACATATATAATACATACGTTCACTTGCAATAAATGGATCAACACACAGTTTTAGAAGCATTGATTGCACACATATGTAGTTCTGCATGTTGGCCTATGAGTGGTGCATTTAAACGATATGGATGGCATGGGTGAACTGGGGATGTTGTGAGGTCAACCTCGGCTATTGCACGAAAGCCTGGCGCTCGCTAAACTGCAGAGGTTCGTCGAGTTGTTTTCTGCCGATTCAATGCCAAGTTGTCTAATCTGCCTGCTTTCGCAGTGAATGATTGACAAACCTTAGACCAACCACAGCTTGACCTTTCGCGCAGAGCCCTCGGTAGGCTTCTTCGGTGCAATTCCCGGCCTCGGGGAATTGAACTTGGGCGAGGCGAGGAAGTGGGAAGTTGGGAAGCGGAGGTTTCAGACCCAAAAACCCATGCCCCGGAACCACCAAAAGGGAGTAAATCAGGCTGGTTGCTAGGGGTCGCTTTTCCCGGGTGCTCCCCCTTTTTGGGGGGATTGCTCACTTTTGGAGGGAAATACATGTCAATAGAACCTTTGTTGTGCTTTCAACATTACAGGGTAAAAGGGGGGTCTCTTTAGCCTTGGAGAAAAAATGCACCAGGGACCCATGAAGGATTCCTCCAAAAATGGCGGGCTGTTTGGTTCAACTGCAGGGAGGGTCAAAGCCTTACTCTGAGAGTTGATCGCGCCTTTTCAAGGCAATTCGACCCAGGCTGATGTTGTTTGCTTAAAATGTCACTCGGGTTGTGCCGCGCAATGCCAACCCAGCACCATGTATTCTTAGTTTCTAAAACAACGAAAGCACTTGCAGCGCAGCAGGCACGGGATGGCACGGGTGCAAAATAGCAAGTAAAACCCTACTAGCATGTTAGCTCCTAAATCCGGTCATTTGTTTTGTTTGAACCCGGCCTGTCGTCCAACCTGCGCTGTGGGTTCAGACTCCGCCCAAAGAATCAAGCAACCAAGCAAGCAATCAAGCACGCAAACATAAAATCAATAAACAAGCAAGGAGGCAAATAAGTAAGCAAGCAAGCAAATAAGCAAGCAAGCAAGCAAGCACGAAAACAACCGATTAACAAATCAATCAAACAGGCAATCGGCAATCAATCAGTCAATCAATCATTTAGTCAGACAAACCGGCCAGCAAGCAAGCAAAGCAAGCAAGCAAGCAAGCGACAAACCAAACAAACCGACTGGCCTACACAATACGCACACATTCATGCGTAAATATGTATGCATTGTGGGCAGTTTCTTCAATTGGGGATTGGGAGACAATATGTGTGTGGTGTGTGTGTGTGTGTGTGTGAGTGCACCTTGTCGCAAGAAAGCAGTCATGGCTATGTCACCGCCCGCCCGCCTGCCCTGCTCTCTTGCCGCTCACCCACCCACCCACCCACCCACCCACCCACCCCCCCCTCCCCTCCCTGCCACTTAGCCACCCCGTGGCATTTGTCAGATTTCAAAGGGGAACTTTCGGGCCTCACAATTTCTGGGGATCGTCCGGGGATGCTCCAGGTGAGCATCTTGGGCCATTGCCCCCCAGAGAATGTGGCCGCCCTGTTCAAAGGCAAACCCTTCGTCCTGACAATTCTTAGGGAAGCCCTCACACTGGGCGGCTTCCGTTTCGTTTGCATTTGAACCCCAATACGGGTGGCTCCAAGAAAACACTCCTAAATCCAGCTTCAGTTTTGCCATGTTGCGGTCATTCCCCGTGCAAAACGACAACTGAAGCCCCACACCCAAAAACGGGCACCCCTTTTCCAACGAGCACGAAAGCAGACAGGAGCATACTCTTGAACAGGCCGGCCAATCCACCGGATCTGGGAAGTGTTGACTGCATGGCTGCAGGTCTTGGTGCTCGAAAGCCACGGCTCCTCGGTGCGCCTGCGATTGCCGGGCTGTGGGGAGCAGCAGCTGCCGCCGCTCTTTGCCGCGCTCAGCCAGGCTTCCGGGCCATGGGCCCGGGTGATGGGGCAGCTGAGGTCAGCTGTTGGCGTGGGTTTTGGGTTCGGTTCTCTTCCATGCTTTGCTTCAAAGTGGTCTCCCAACATGCATCCATTTCCTCCGCGCGGCTGGTAGACCATGAGGCCACGACGTCGAAATGTTGCATCATGTAACTGGATCTTTACAGGAACTCAGGGAGTGAGCTGATTGGGCAAAATGGTCCACACTTGATCTTTGCCACCTGAACTTGCTTGCCAACAGTCACTCAGCGCAGGATAACTCGAGTGAGTTGGCAAACTGCTTTGCGTGTTGCGGTCAAGGAAGGCGGCGGGATGGGGTTTGGGGGTTTGGGCCTTTTTCGGCTCGGGCCGGTGGCTTATGGAAGACTTTGCATAGCACTTGGCCAGCAGTTGAACTCCTGACTCGCCGCTCGGGAGAGGAGAAGTCCCGGTTTGGGCTCAGCGACTTCGCGGTGTGTGCCTTGGCCACGGCTGGCTTTGAAGAATGCTCGGAGATGTTCGGAGCCTAGATGTGGGGCTCCCCCCTTTCGATGATTCAACGAGAACCCGGAGAAAACCCGCCATGTGGTAGTTGATTCCTCGGGTGCGTCGAGAACCTTTCCATGCTGGGGCCTTCCAGGTTCTGTCAGTTACCACACCCGTGAACCACACCCTGAAAACTGGCAAACGCGCAAGCAACGTAACTTCAGCATGGAGGGCCCAGACTCCCAACGTGTAATCCTTGGGGCCCCCAGGCTCCCCCCCCCCAACAGTTCGAGGGCTAAGCCTTACAAAGGCCGTTTCGGCGCGTTTTGGGTTCGAAGTTTGGACATGGCCTGGGCGAAGCCAGGGAGTGGGATTCTTCCACAGGTTGGTGTTTTTGTTGTTGTTGTTTTTTTTTGGGTGGGGGACCTTCAGTGTTTGGTCTTGCCAGACCTCATGTCTTGTGGTTTTCGGATTTGGAGGCAATTTCTCTGAGAGACGGAAGGTGCTTCTCGTTTACTCTGATTACCTGCTTTTCACGAAATAGTTGGGAAATAGGTTGGGTTCTAGGGGTGTTAGGCATACGTAGTACGTTTACATGCCCCATGAATAAATGACCTTGGATGGCTTGCTCAAGTTCACCCCCCCTCTTCTTCTGAAATGAGGGGGTTATTTGTACATGTAATATATGTATTTAGATGTATTTATGAATTATAATCGGGGGCGGGGGTGCCTTGGTATGGCAGAGTTTGTCCCCACAGGCAAGCCCAAGGTCCTGGGAGTTTGCCATTTGTTCCACACTTCAACACCCAAGAGCCGAATGCAAAACAGCAATGCGCCGCAATCCGGCCCTTTGAGAGGCAAAGAGTCGGGTTTTGGCCGCGCCGCGCGCCGCGCGTGGCGTGCTGCAGGCCAGTCATCTTTGGAGCAGGTCTTCAACGGGTTTGCGGCAGAAGCAGGGGGCAGGGTCGACTAGTGCCCAGATATTGGATCAAATGCTGCAGGAACTTCATGCACGAACCCAACTCTTGAGGTTGAGTGTTGATTCCCTTCGTCTTCCCATTTTACGCATGCTCCGTTCCTTGGTCATGTTCTGACAAGAATGATCCCTGGAGAGAGTTGCTCCAACTCTAGTCGGCAAGCATAACACCACATTTTTTAGCCCATTGGAGAACAGTTGTTTTCGACGAAGGACAGGGATAAGAGTTTTGTTTAGACCGTTTGTTTGAAATGTGTTCGGTTACAATCGCGGTGTTTGTGGAATCACTGCGGCAAGGCAACGTTCCCCGCAATTTCAAGCGGACGATGTTTCGGCGATGTGCAGCGAACCGCTGGGCTGGTAGCTGGTAGAGGCTGCAAAGAATGTGATCCGCAGGGGCTCATGCTTGGCCTTCACTGCCTTTCGCTTGCTAGGGAATCACAGCAGTAAATTCGTTGGGACCTGCTTGGGTATTGTTTTACCGATTTTACATCTTCAGATTCGCTACATATGGACCCGAAAGATGTGTTGGTGGGAGTAGGGTCTGAGGTAGGGAGCCCGCCGTAGCTCAGCGGAATGCACGTTGAACATGTACGACTCGAGCCGGAGCCTGCCAAAGCAAGCAGGGGTGCATGGCCAGGGATTTTTACTTTGCATGTCGCACCTAAGAGCCTTGAAAAGATGTCCCTTCACTCTGGCATGGTTGTTGTTGGGAAACTCTTTGCATTTTTGCTTATTGTGGTTTAGTGGTTGAAATCCCCACTTAGCTGCTACTTTTTCCTCCCCTTCCAACGTCAACCAAGCTGGGTTCCCAACAGTTTTCCAGTTTTCACTGGCTATCAAACTCAGTTTCGAGCCCCACTTGCCATGTTGACAGCAGTGGCTCCCCTTCCAAGTCGAGTTGCGTTACCAAGATTCCTTGCACAGGAAGCCTTACTTTTGGTGAGTCATGCTCGGCCTCCATGTCACAGATGATTTGGGCTCACCAACCCCCGGAACAGTATTCAGCATTATTATTTTTGTATTAGAGAACTTTCAGATATGAGTTGTTCCGGCCCGCTATGTACCCAGAAGCTGTGGGCTTGCCCGACGTGCACGCGCGCCGGCATTAATGGCGATTGTTCCGCGGCTTTGAACCGCATGGGAACGGGGCAGCCATGCTCAGTAATGCGAGGCGAAGCTGTAACTTGCTGATCCAAATTCAGGATGAGAACCTCTGGGACAAACTGGCGTTTGAGAAGGTTCGTGGCACCACATAAACCATGTCCTTCTCCTTTTTTGCGGGTGTCCTCACTGAACCTTGTCAGCGCCACCATGACACAGGTCACTGGGCGGTTTGTTTGGCTTTCAGCTTTTCAGGGGACCCTGGGAAGACTCTTTGAGGGTTCCACCTGCATGGTTTGCAACTAACACGCGGTGGCTAAGACTTCATTTTCCAAGCTGAAAGCGAATCACCGGGTATTGGCTTACATCAACATGACCAAAGTTTGTTTTGTTTTGTTCGCTGGCTCACTCGTTGATTCTTTCCTCCTTCTCTGTCTGTTCCAAGTGCCCGAGGGCATCCAGCATTGGATTGGCGCAGGTGCGCTGAAGCCGGGGGCGCCATGGCTGCCATCGGGTGGGCCAAACCAAGCTGAAAGTGGGGAGCACCAGCTCCGCGCAACGGGTTTCTCATTGTTTATGTTGCTTCACCTTTGCCTTCCCACTATTTGCAGGTGGAACCCTTCATCGAACATCACCAGCTGGCTAGCACGAGCGGGTCATCTCCCTTTTGGCTTCTGTGGAGAGGCCCACCCGATCGGTTTCGGCTTGGCGTAAGCAGAAAAGGATGCGCGCGTTGCTAACGTTGGTTTGTCGAGCAATGTTAACCCCGCAGCCCTTTTTCAGGGATCTTTTTTTGACGTGATTTGACACGTTAAGGCACACTAAATGGCCATTAATTGTAGCAAGGAATCGTTTCAGGAGGGTTTTGCAAGCGTTTTGAAAAACTGTGCAAACACATGGAGGGTGGGCGGTGTTTAGGACACTGAGAACTAGCATGGAAGCCCAAAGGTGCTCACGTGATGGCGGGGTTGCGCCTCTTTTCGCGCTTCCATTTAGAAACACCAGCCATGACTTCAGCGACATGCGTGTTTCTCTGATTGACGGTCACACGTGCACAGGTGGAATGGAGATCCCAGTGAAAGAATGCGTTTGCACTCATGGTCGGTGTTTGTTTGAGGGTAGTTGCGGCGGTTTAAAAGGGACGCCAAAAGGAAACCACTCATAGCCAGGAGGAATAGGTCGATCTTGAGCTGAGGCCGCAACACCAAGAGTTCTACAGCATCCCGCTGATGGACTGGCTGGTGGACAAATACAAGGACATGCGTATTGGGTCCCGATGGACTCGCTTCGTCGTGCGGTTTGTCTTACGTATCATAATTTCAGGTAGCCTTGGGTTGGTGGGCTTCGGGCAGAAGGTAGATGGGAAAACCAGCGCCTTAGCCTTTCATCCTTTTTGAAGGAAGCTGAAATTTAGGCCTCAAGCATAGCTGCTGTGAATGGGGCCCGATGTTTGACTGGACCGATGATAGACCTTCAGCCTTTGGCCTAGGTTGTTGGTCTCTTGTTGGGATTGGCAAAAGGAAAGGGCACAATGTTCTCTTTTGTTTAGGGGGGTGACGGGGGTGACTTGGCAAGTTCTTCGTGGTGCCGGAGGCACAAGACGAGCATCCTCAAAGGCCACTGTTTGCACAGCGCTCATGGCTAAATCACTAAATCCTTAAAGAAACGCGGCCAGGGCTTTAAATCGTCTCAAGTGACTTGCGACATGCTCTCGGGAAGAATTCGTGAAAAGCCATCTGCCCAAGAAGGTACTAAACAAACAACCCTCCAAGTTGGGATTCAGGTCCAGCCATTCGCTTTGTGGAGTTTGTTGTGTGTGGCAAAAGCATAGGGAGGGATCCAAGCGACGGCGAAACTCCAGGACGAGTTCGACAACTTTTCGGAGAAGATGACCAGCACCGCGTCTTTGCCTCAGGTGGAACCAGCATGAGGGCGCCATAGGGCGCCTCTTTTTTGGCTCTTTCCCCACCCCACTCCTGGCAAATTTGGGCGCACCAAGTTTTGAGAGAAGCGCTTTGTTTTGTTGCATGCGATGTTGGCTCCATGATGCAACATAGTATGGCATAGATATACAGTAAACAGCATAAGTGTAGATACCTTCTAAGACTACAAGAAACCATAGTATTTTCTGCATTAATCCAGATTCATTAGATTGTATAAAACCCAGACCACCCAGATCTGCAGCAAAGTTATACTTGATCACAACCTTTTGTAGCCATTAAACAGAATGGCTCAGGTTGGAAAGACACCCCAGTTTTTCAAACAAATGGTATTCATATTGAATCCTACACGCTCCAGCAGAAATCGTGTGATTTCCTCAATGGGTGGCTCCATTCGGGCTTCCCCGTGCCTGAGAAATGTTCAGAGAACATAAATGGATGTCAGCCTTCTCCCACTCACAGAGTCATCAGAAGCGCAGGGGACTCTGTGATATGCCCAACTCGATGAATCCCGCAACCCCCTCACTGTTCATCAAAGTCCCCCAACATGAATTGGTTGTTTCTCTTTATAAGATGGCAAGCACAGGTGGCTTCTGAACAGAAGGGCGCCTGCGGGGGGTTCTGGCGGCAGCCAGCTTTTTGGGAGGTATGCGCGCGGCATCACCTGGACCAAGGCAGGGCTTCAATGCTTCCGTTTGCTGCCCTGTGCAAATAGAGGGTCCAGACTAATGATGGCCATAGAGATTTCTGATAATTTTCCTGGTCACCTGTGGTAGTTAGTGGATGCGCCAACACCCCAGGGCGGTAGCCGGTGTCTCTAGTATTTAGTATTTCTCTTGTAGCATGTAATGTCCATCGCTGCGTAATGCCCTACTCCACTCAACCTTGAAGACATGGCTTGAGAGGCAATTGGGATGAAGGAATCCTTCGTCTCGGCCGCGCACCGCAGCCCTTTCCATCCAAACGGATTCCAAGTACAAAGGTTCATCCTTCGCAACTTTTCTGTGGAGCCTGGCTGCCGGGGTATCGTTGTTGCGCCTTGGTTGGTGTAAGCCTTTTGGGCATGTGTGTTTCAACAACTCTTGGAGGCGTTTTAAGGCACATAGCTGGCTTGTTTTTGGGGCCTAGCAAATGCATTTGAGTATAATTTATCTATTTAAGAATGAGCAAACAAGCAATCGGGAGGCTTCCACGTCAGGCTGGAACAGATTGGGGGAAGTACAGCGACGCAAACTGGGAGAAGCTCAGTGCCGGCCTTGGATCGGAGGCAACCATCAGTCAGCTTCCAAACGTGCCTCTTTTCCCACGTTTGTGTGTGTGTATGTTGGTGTGGGTATTTCAGTGGCGTGTGTTTTTGGATGGCGTAATACCCTTTTCAGTTTGCTTGTTTAGGCGGCGAAAAGGGAAACTACCATGAAAACTGCCATGATTTTGCGTTGCTTGTTTGACACATACCCGCCGAAACCACACCGTTGTCAGGGAAATCCAGAAAATCTCCCAAAGTCATCGTGGGCATTTGGATTGTCAATGGCTTCCCTTCATGACTGGGGAGGTTTGGCGTATTTAGGGACTTCGTTCGCCATGCCCATGATGGTCCGGTTACTTTTGTGGGGTTCATTAGTCCAGGTTGATCGATAGGTAGCATAGCAATGTGGGGTCACATATTTTCGAAACATCCACAAGCTTATTGCCAGACTTAGCGACCTTTCTGCCTTTTTGTGCGTCCTTAATTGTCCCTCTCAAAGTTGGCATCCAAACCGTTTGGCAGGAGTGGTGTCCAGATCTTTCGGGCTGGGCAAATGGATGCATTGGCAACCGAGGCTATTGGGCCTCCATGCGCATGCAGACGCTGTTCCGCACGGTGTGCGGCATGATGCAGGGCTGCTCAGGCTCTGCTTGGTCTTATTCGTTTGACCCCTGTTGACCGCTTCCTGTTTGTTTGTTCTGTCTTGTCTATCGATCTATTTATCTATCTATCTATCTGTGGGTCTATCTATCTATCTATGTATCTTTACATCTATCTATCTATCTATCTATCTATCCATAAATCTAATCTATCTATCTGTCTGTCTATCTATCTCTATATCTATCTATCTATCTATCTATCTATCTATCTATCTATCTATCTATCTATCTATCTATCTATCTATCTATCTATCTATCTATCTATCTATCTATCTATCTATCTATCTATCTATCTATCTATCTATCTATCTATCTATCTATCTATATGTCTATCCATCTATGTATCTATCTATCTATTTGTCTATCTATCTATATATCTATCTATCTATGTATCTAATCTAGCTATCTATCTATCTATTTATCTATGCATCTATGTATCCTGTCTATCTAATCTATCTAATCTATCTAATCGATCGAATCTATGTATCTGCCTATCTACCTAATCTACCTAATCTATCTATCTATCTCTCTATCTATCTATCTATCTATATATCTATGTATCTTATCAATCTTATCTATAGTATCTGTCTAATCTATTTTAATTGTATCATCTTATCTACCTTATTTATCTTGCCCATTTGTCTATCTATCTATCTATCTATCTATCTATCTATCTATCTATCTATCTGTCTATATA